CAATGCCTTTCATCCTGCCTTCCATCGTCTTGAGGTCTGAGACTGTTTTCTCTAGGATCAGATCGATGGCACTGGACCCAAGAGGAGCACCAAGGAGAGTGCTATTGGCTGGATCAATGGCTCGTGCTCATGGTAAAATGGCGCTAATATTCTGGATCATCTGTTGATTGGTAGAAACTATTTCACATTTGGTGGGGTTTAAAGAAAGGCCCAGTCTTTCTCCCATATCTTTAATTTTACTGATGTCCTCTAGGAGAGATTCTGTTGTGCCAGCTAGGGTACCATCATCCAGGAACCAGATATTGAGCTCGCTAGAGAGTGCTTCTGTGACTTCCTTGATGACCAAACAGAATAGAAAAGGGGAGAGAGGGTCCCCCTGTCGCATGCACTCACATGAGTCAATTTCATGGTCCCCAAACAATAGTTTGGAAGTCACACTATAACACGATTCTATGAAGGGATAAAGTGAAGGGAAGTTTCTATAAACTGCTTGGAGAGCAGCATCCCTTCTGACTGAGTTGAAAGCGTTGGCAAAGTCCAATTTGATCAAGGCTTTTTCATCGGACATGTTTTTCATATATACTCGTGCTGCGTGGGCAGCTGCTTCACAGCCCTGTTCAACGCCGAAACCAAGCTGAGTTGGTTTCAGCATTGCAGCAGCCTCTTGACTCACCCTTCTCACTGCAGCCTTGGCGACTAGGCGCCGAAGGGTGTTTCCCAGTGCAATGGGCCTGATTCCGCCATCCTTTTTCCGGAGGGCACACAATGAGGCACCAAAGAAAAGGGGTCTGATGGCCTCTGGGACACTGCCAGCCAGGCACAGGTTGAAAAACTTGGTGAGTTCAGACAGCAGCCTCTCTGAAACATCACCAAGTGCTGGATTGAGTATTTGTTTTAAGTGTTGAGGCCTTTAACTAGTGAAACCTCCTGCTGAGCCCTGTGGAAATGACATAGAAGCTTTATAAACATCCGCATCCTATAAGGTTAGATGTTCTTCACCTGCTGCAATGTCAGGGAGGTCAATGTTGGTACTGGGAGCCCTGGGTGGATGTTTGTCCTTCAGAGCTTGTGTCGTGCTGACGTCCTTGGGAGCTATGGTATCCTCACTGGTCATAAGCCTCAGAACTCCAATAGTATTACCCTCTTCTATTTTTTTGCTAATTTGGGCTCTGATTTTTGAGGCGTTGGGTGTCCTGTTGTTGGCATTTGCCCGGTGGGTGTTTGTCGCCCTAGGGGGGAGACGGACGAGGTTGTCATCCCTTGGAAATGCATTTATTGCCCTTATAACATGTGTTGCTAGTGACTTGTCCCTCCATGGTGGGACAGCCAAACAGGCATTGCCAAAAAGCAGCAAGTTGTGCCAGGATCTGTTGTTTGAAGGAGCATCGTTGACTTTCTTCAGAAGGTCAGTGAATTTGCTAGCAGCTTGAGGGCGTGCTGCTGTGTGGATGTGTGTCAGAGTCCTGGTCCTCTGTAGAGGTGAAGTCACGGTAGCTGTCAGCACTGTCTGCTGGGAGGGGCTGTTGGTTCTTCTCATTTGGAGCTCTCCTGGAGCCTAGACATCCATTGTGTGCACGGATGTTGCCGGTTGAGGGATTGAGTGCACATTCCCTGTAGCACACCCGGCAGATACCTCGTGAACGACGGCTTTGGCTCTGTCCTGGGAACCCACGACTACTTGTGACATTGCTGATATCGTGGGGGTGGGAGGGCGCCAGCTGTGGGGTGACGGGTGAACCTGGAGAGACAGCAGGGATGCATGGGGGATGAGGGTGGGGGTGTAGCGAGCTGCAGAACTTGTAATTGGTGTGACACTGAACAACAACACCCTTGGTCAGGAAGCCAGTGAGCCTAGTCTGGGATGAGGGGAGGGGATCATGGATTGGGGGCAGGGGGAGCGGCCCTGTGCGGTCGCTCAAGATACACATCACTGACTAACTTTTGCTAATTGTTATACACTTATTGTTCCATGTAGAATAAATCCTCGCCATTTGGAACACTAATCACCATGCTCACACTATTGACCGAGGTGTTCTTCTGTTCACCATCCAATGACGGTGTCGTGAGCGGCCACTTCCTTCCCCATCCCACGATCCCAGCCGGACACAAATGTAAACAAAACCTCCTCCACACTACCCCTGGCAGGATCCCCTCACCACCGCTACTCCCCAAAATCCCAACATGCACACTGCACTTTCACTGATACAGAAGCAACGGTCTGATGCAGAGGATTGTCAAAACTCTCTAATCTCCGGTGGATACTCACGATGATGTCTGCCGAAACTGGCCCATGTAAACCATGTTGGTTCTTGATTTACACAGAGAATGTATATATATAAAATATATATATAAAATTATATATATATATATATATATATTATATAATTGAAATATTAAATATAAATATATATATTTATGTATTATTTTATACTATATAATGTATATATTAATCATATACAGTTAATTTAATATATATACATATATATATATTATATATTATATATATATATATATATATATATATATATATATTAATATATAAAATATATTTTATATATATATATATATATATATATATAATATATATAATTATATATATATATATATATATATATATATATATATATATATATATAATATTATATATATATATATATATATATATATTATATATATATATATATATTATATAATATATATATATATATATATAATATATAGTTTTGGAGTGGTTGGTGCAATTATTTAATAAATGTATGGAAGAGGGTAAGGTACGTAGGGATTGGTAGAGAGCATGCATAGTTCCTTTGTATAAAGGCAAAGGGGACAAAAGACAGTGCAAAAATTATAGGGGGATAAGTCTGTTGAGTATACCTGGTAAAGTGTATGATAGAGTTATTATTGAAAGAATTAAGAGTAAGAGGGAGAATAGGATAGCAGATGAACAAGGGGTCTTTAGGAAAGGTAGGGGGTATGTGGACCAGGTGTTTACAGTGAAACATATAAGTGAACAGTATTTAGATAAGGTTAAAGAGGTTTTTGTGGCATTTATGGATTTAGAAAAGGCGTATGACAGGGTGGATAGGGGGGCAATGTGGCAGATGTTGCAAGTGTATGGTGTAGGAGGTAGGTTACTGAAAGCAGTGAAGAGTTTTTACGAGGATAGTGAGGCTCAAGTTAGAGAATGTAGGAAAGAGGGAGATTATTTCCCAGTAAAAGTAGGCCTTAGACAAGGATGTGTGATGTCACCGTGGTTGTTTAATATATTTATAGATGGGGTTGTAAGAGAAGTAAATGTGAGGGTCTTGGCAAGAGGCGTGGAGTTAAAAGATAAAGAATCACACATAAAGTTGGAGTTGTCACAGTTGCTCTTCGCTGATGACACTGTGCTCTTGGGAGATTCTGAAGAGAAGTTGCAGAGGTTGGTAGGGTATGCAAAAGAAGAAAATTAAAAGTGAATACAGTAAAGAGTAAGGTTATGAGAATAACAAAAAGATTAGGTGATGAAAGATTGGATATCAGATTGGAGGGAGAGAGTATGGAGGAGGTGAACGTATTCAGATATTTGGGAGTGGACGTGTCAGCTGATGGGTCTATGAAAGATGAGGTGAATCATAGAATTGATGAGGGGAAAAGGGTGAAGGTGCACTTAGGAGTCTGTGGAGACAAAGAACTTTGTCTTTGGAGGCAAAGAGGGGAATGTATGAGAGTATAGTTTTACCAACACTCTTATATGAGTGTGAAGCATGGGTGATGAATGTTGCAGCGAGGAGAAGGCTGGAGGTAGTGGAGATGTTATGTCTGAGGGCAATGTGTGGTGTAAATATAATGCAGAGAATTCGTAGTTTGGAAGTTAGGAGGAGGGATTACCAAAACTGTTGTCCAGAGGGCTGAGGAAGGGTTGTTGAGGTGGTTTGGACATGTAGAGAGAATGGAGCGAAACAGAATGACTTCAAGAGTGTATCAGTCTGTAGTGGAAGGAAGGCGGGGTAGGGGTCGGCCTAGGAAAGGTTGGAGGGAGGGGGTAAAGGAGGTTTTGTGTGCGAGGGGCTTGGACTTCCAGCAGGCATGCGTGAGCATGTGTAATAGGAGTGAATGTAGACAAATGGGTTTTAATACTTGACGTGCTGTTGGAGTGTGAGCAAAGTAACATTTATGAAGGGATTCAGGGAAACCGGCAGGCCGGACTTGAGTCCTGGAGATGGGAAGTACAGTGCCTGCACTCTGAAGGAGGGGTGTTAATGTTGCAGTTTAAAAACTGTAGTGTAAAGCACCCTTCTGGCAAGACAGTGATGGAGTGAATGATGGTGAAAGGTTTTCTTTTTCGGGCCACCCTGCCTTGGTGGGAATCGGCCAGTGTGATAATAATAATAAATAAATATATTATTATATATATATATATATATATATATATATTTTATATATATATATATATATATATATATATATATATATATATCCCCGACTTATGATATATCCCTTGAGTTACGCTGGAGTGACTAGTGTTTCTTTTATAAATTACACAAAGGTAGTCCCAAACATGATAAAGTATTCATTAAAGATTTGCCTGTGTATTTTTCTTTCTCAATTACAAAAACTATATTTATAATCGATAATATATCTTTGCATATATATATACCTCAATTATCTAACGCAAATATATATTCCACCAACAAATTTTACAAAATAATGTGAAGATACTTAAGAGATGAATGTAAGAGGTGATGACTGTCGCACACATTTCAAAAAACCTGTTTGACTCTGGCTGTGTTTAGAGAAACAAAAGTACTGAGCTTTGAAAAGTTGTTTTTGGCGATCACTTGAAATCTCTTGTAACGAGATTCCTGTAGCTCTTTTGATAAGCTTTTGTGTGCCTCTGCTTGAAGACTAACAGCTCTGATCCTGCGTCTTTTCTTAACTGCTAAAGGAATGTTAAATTTAGACCTTTTAAAATCAGAGGTATGGGTGAGTAGGTGTGTTGAAGGGTACAGGTGACTCACCTACAGTACTGTAGTAATACAGTGGTAGCAGGATGAGGGGAGATACCAAGTAGAGCTGACTGTCCACTGCCAGGTACCAACACTGATCCATGCACTGTCAATGATTTTAAATTAAATTGGGATCAAGATGATTATTATAATTGTAAAACACTATTTCCCTCCAGGAACCTTATAACCTCCCGAGTCATACCAGAGACCTGATGCATTTCCAGTGTGCATTCTGGTACCAGAATGGAGTAATATTTGAAAGATAAACTTGCAGTAATTCGAGGCCACAGGACGAAGAACATTTATCTTTATCTAACTAAACCAGAGTGTTCCCGAGAAGTCAACATGTGGTGGGTAATTTTATCTCTACAAACATTCTGAGCAAGTCGTAGCTGAGTAGGCCTTGGTTACCAAACTTCAAGATCTCTGGCATTGTTAAGGAGGTATTCTGGTACTGGTACTGGATACACACACACATCCACGGTTACCTCTGAGAATTTCCACTCCATCTACCATTGCAACCTCTTGCAAGTTTACATAGCTCCTGACGAAATCATCAGTTGTAATTAACTATGTATTACAGAGTCCAATCAAATATCATCGTTATTTTAGGTTACTTACATTTCCTGCTGCATCTGGACTAATTGGATCAGGTAGAAAGTTATCAAGGAAGAAAACATCTCTCCACCAGATTTTCTGGCACCCTTTCTGCCAGTAGTGCCAGTTTTCAGCAGATGGGCCAGCCACAAAGAAGTGTGCCACTGTGGCATACATTCCAGCGACCATGCCAATGGATGGGATTAACCTGGTGAGAGACGTAATAGAATGTTAAGTGTCCTCCCGACATATATAATTTCATGTTATTTTTGAAAGGAAGTGATTAAGTAACTTGACTTTCTTTTTCCCTCTCCCTTTGTATCATCAGTGCATGACAATGACATCTTGATTTTTCATGTACATTACGAGTGCACGAATGCATTATTCGGAGCTCCAGTCTGGGACTTGTGTTGAAGCGCTGTTTCCAGTCAGAGTTTAATCTTCATCAAGATCATCATATCTTTAATTCAATTATTAGCTTCTCTCCTTCATTACAGATTTTCAGGGCTGTATTCTAGGAGAGCACAGTGGAAGCAACACATCAGTAAAAATGATCCAGCAAATCCCAACAGTGGGAAACCCCTTAGTCCCAGGTTAAGGATTTTGAGGAACAACTTCAAATATTTACAGAGGGTTTAGATTCAGAGGAGAAAAAAGACGTTGTTCCTTGTTCATGACATTACATAAGAATACTGACTGACCATGAACTGCTTAACTTGGTGGGTATTCTGAAGAAAAACATTATATACTGAAACGTGAGATAGAAAGGTGATGAAATATTTAATCAATTGTGGATATGAGGCAGAATTATCTTCATATTCCCAGAGAATAGACTTTTCTGATTTATTTAACGAAAAGAGATTAATGCCAATATACCAAAAGGTCAGCTTTCTATGTGGATGTAATATCTATATAAAACAATAATTAAAGTTATAACTTCCTTTCGATTTAAATGCGATTCTTTAGCCTTTTTCATTATCGTTACAATGATCTTTATTAATACCTCATTTCCCTACTTGAAAGGCAGGACGACTAGATATTTCCTAGTGAAGAATAAAGAAAAATTTTTAGGAACATCTAAAAACATTAAAATCAATGTATTAACTTTTACAAAAATTCATACGTTAAACGAAGAAATTGAAAGAGACAAAAAATACCATCTGATGAATCTGAGTATATAGAACAAAACGTTTATATAGAAAAGAATAATTTGTTAAAGATAAATAAAAGGAAAAACTCACCTGATGAGTCTGTGTAAATAGAAGAGGATGATATTGAATTTTACAGCGTTGTTGAGTTGCTTGAAGACAGTGTAGGAGAGCAATAACCCGCCCACCAGGAAGAACGTGTCCACGCTGGGGTACGACCCGGCGATTACTTGGTACAGGAACCCATTGATTTTCTGGGTACAAAAGGCATATTATTAAAATTATGCATTCATAGGAAAGGTCGAAACGTGTAGGGGACATATAGCGCCTGAGGAATGGAAGGTAAAGAGGCTCGATACAAGGAAAGGAGAAAAATATCACCAATGAAGGGAAGAACAGTATAGTTTTCAGTACTTAATGTAGTGAAAAACAATATAGAAAAAATTGAGTTCTTTACGTTGTGAGCAAACTAAATACGTGCCTGTGTGAGGTGACTTGTGGGCGATGTTTTGTCCGTCAGGAAACAACACAAACGTGTCCTGACATGGGTCTCACTCACATGATAATCCGGTAACTAGTTAGACATCCGCTGGCCTAACCCACCTAGGTTTTACACCCCATTTATTATAAACAAAAGGCCATATCACTAAGATGATATGTTTTCGGCCATCCAGTGTGGAATAATTGCCACGTACATGTTCAATTAAACTATAGGCCTGCTGGAGGTATTTAAGTGTTGAGTAACTGATAAATGTACATCGTGGTGTATTTGCCTCGTTGTGCTCCGGGTTTTCTCGTGTTTTCACGGTCGCTCTTACGTGCTAGAACTTTAATTTGTGCCATCAATTCTATACGATGCATCCCTCTAGCGCCTGGAACCAATCTTGGGCGGAAAACATTATATACTGAGTCAAAAAGGAGAATTAGTGTGCACTACCTAGCAGAGTTTACTGCCAGAGGGGAATCTTAGGCCTGTGTTCCGTGTGCAAAATAATAATAATAGAACTTTTCTTTGTCAGAGGAAAGAAAGTCTCCCTGATAACATTGTGTATAGTGTATACTACAGTGGCTCCCTAGTATATAGATGAAAAAGGCTAAAGTGTCATTTGAAATCAGGTGAATTTGTAAATGAAGTGATAAGCCTATAGAGGCAGGTGCCAGAAGTCGCCAGAAACTTACCACAGTGGTCAGCTGTTTTAATAATCTTCCTGGCCTGCTAGTGTACTCGCATATAATCTAGTGATACCAGTGAATAGCAGAATACAGTGTTGTAGTAGCAACTAACCAGTATTATAATGGTACTTAGTGGAGCGGAGTGACTTTCATTAGTTTCTTTTTTCTTGAAATACCAGACGTATACTGTGAATTTCATATAACCTGTAGTTACCAGCGGTCGCAATATACACAACGAGAAGCAATTATTACTACAGAAAAAGCGTCCTTCCTCCAAAATCTCCACCAGTCAACTATAGTGATAATATAGCATTTATTGTGGTGGAGACGAAAAAAACCCTAGAAAAGCTAGATACAGCGATTGATAAACAAGGGTTGAGGCTCGACCGTTCGTCATTGTAGGAGCTGCAAGAAATCACCGGTTCTTCAACACGCAAGTTATACTTTTGTATCAATCAAATCACATATTACTCGGGTAGATAATTTCAAGTAGATCCTTCATGTGTAAGCACAAATCACCGACCAGTATGTTTTAAATAAGTGACCCACTGATCAGATCAGACTGGTCCAAACCCTTGACTGGTCCGAACCCTTGACTGGTTTCAAACGGATTCGTTGGACAATAAAGCAGACTGTAAACGGATGGGGTTGTAGGCGCCCTTATCAAACACAAACAATAAATATAAATCAGGAACGTACACGGTAAGCTGTCCAATATACAAGTACAGTTAGAAATAGAAATACAAATAGCTAGAGCTTCATTTAAGGAGGTTATTAATAGAGTATTCAAGAGGTTGCTAGTAGAATTACAGTAAATCAACCTTTCAAATCATTATGAAGCCCTGTGTAGTCTGCAGTCAATCGAACAAACGGGCTTCCACATGGATAAATTGTCATTTTTGTGGAAATTGGTGTCACGCCCCTTGTGCAGATATCCAAGACTAGCTACAAGCAGTATTAAAACAGGGAAGTGTTTTTGGGTATGCCCAAATGAGATAAATCTGTGGACTAAAATCACAAGGGTATTAAAAGAGGATAACATCAAAGCTGCTTTCATAGACAACCTGGAAGCTTTCTACAACAGATGGGAACATAAAAAATCTGGGCTGAATGGTACTGCCCTTGATACTGGCCATGTAGCCAGAAACTGTAAGGCTGGAGGTGTGATGTCCTGGTAGTCAGTAAATGTGGGGCTGATAGTGCTGTCCTGGGAGACAGTAATGGTGAAGCTGGAGGTGCTGTCCTGGGAGACAGTAATGGTGAAGCTGGAGGTGCTGTCCTGGGAGACAGTAATGGTGAAGCGGGAGGTGCTGTCCTGGGAGACAGTAATGGCGAAGCTGGAGGTGCTGTCCTGGGAGACAGTAATGGTGAAGCTGGAGATTTTGTCCAGGTAGTCGGGAATTTTACGCAGGAAGGAATACATATAAATGACCTCACAGGGGACAGGAGCCGTAGTGGGGAAACAAGTGTAGTCAAAGATAAGATAAAACCAATATTGCAAACTAGAAATACCACAGGAAATAGCAAACAAGAGGACTCCACTAGCAATAGTGAGGATATATTACCAAAAACAACTGGTGGGAGCTCCATTGTTGGTGCTAGGGAGGTTAGGAATAAGACAGGGAAACATGCACCAACAGGGAATACAGTCACAGAAACCCAAGGCAAACGGAAACCAAGCCTGTGCACATACTATGCACGTGGTATCTGCAGGCATGGGAAATCTGGAAAAACAGATGGGACGTGCAACTATGACCACCCTAGAAAATGCCGTGCCCATATGACAACAGGAAAATACAAACTCCCTTCTTGTAAGCTTTTTCACCCTGAAATGTGTACCTCTTCAGTACAGGAAAGACTGTGCTATAACTTAAATTGCCAGGCACACCATCTAAAGGGGACAAAAAGATACAAAACATCCAGGCCATGGGAAAACCTGGGTAGCCACAGCCACTCAAGAGGGAGAGGTTTTTTAGTGCCAGGAAGGAAAAAAACTGGCAGGAAATGGCAGAAATCGTACACCAAATCCAGTCATTCCTGGAGTGGAACCACAGTCGATGGCCTCCACTCCAAACCAACAGATACAGATACTAATGCCGGAAAAAAAAATCCCCCCCAGTACCAACAATACCACCAGTCCGATGACATTCTTCTTTGCAAATATACAGGGTCTAAAGCCAGCAACAACAAAATACCTTTCATCCGTGGACTGCTTGCAGAGGCAAAGGCAATGTTCGCGGCTTTCACTGAGACCCATATAAAGGATCACTTGGACAACGAAATATGGATCCCAGGTTACAACCTATACAGATGTGACAGAGTGAACAGGCAGAAGGGGGGGTTGGCCTGTACATTGCAGAGTCACTTGTTTGCACACAACTGCTTAATGCCTCAAATGATGTAGTGGAAGTTTTAGCAGTAAAGGTCGAGAACCAAAACCTAGTCATTGTGGTAGTCTACAAGCCTCCAGATGCAACATCCCAGCAATTCCAGGAACAGCTGTTAAAAATTGACCACTGTCTGGAAAATCTTCCAGCTCCTGCACCCAACATCTTGCTCGTGGGGGATTTCAACTTAAGGCACCTAAAATGGAGGAATATAGCAAATAATATTGTTGCAGTAATAACACCAGGAGGTAGCTCTGATGAAAACTCACACTCACACGAGCTTTTAAATCTCTGCACAAAATTCAATTTAAACCAGCAAATAATAGAGCCTACTAGACTGGAGAATACACTAGACCTTATCTTCACTAACAATGATGATCTGATAAGAAATGTCACCATATCAAAAAAAAATATACTCAGATCACAACATAATTGAGGTTCAGACATGTATGCGTGGAGCCCCAGACCGACATAATGAGATTAGTCACGAGGGAGCATTCACCAAATTCAACTTCAACAACAAAAACATAAAGTGGGACCAAGTAAACCAAGTCCTAACCGATATAAGCTGGGAAGATATACTAAGCAACACAGACCCCAACTTATGCCTAGAACAGATTAACTTGGTGGCACTCGATGTATGCCCCAAGGCTTATTCCTCTAAGAAAAAGGAGGAGTAGATGTAAAATAGAAAGAGACAGGCGCTCCCTTTACAGGCGACGGGAAAAGAATAACAGAGCGGCTAAAAGAGGTCAATATATCTGAATGCGTAGGGACACACTGGTCAGAGAAATAGCAAGCATCGAACTTAAGCTAAAGGAATCTTATAGGAGTCAGGAATCGCGGGAAGAACTGAAAGCCATAAATGAAATCGAAAGAAACCCAAAGTATTTCTTCTCCTATGCCAAATCAAAGTCGAGAACAACGTCCAGTATTGGGCCCCTACTTAAATAAGATGGGTCCTACACAGATGACAGCAAGGAAATGAGTGAGCTACTCAAGTCCCAATATGACTCAGTTTTTAGCAAGCCGCTAACCAGACTGAGAGTTGAAGATCAAAATTAATTTTTTATGAGAGAGCCACAGAATTTGGTTTACACAAGCCTATCCGATGTTATCCTGACGCCAAATGACTTCGAACAGGCGATAAATGACATGCCCATGCACTCTGCCCCAGGGCCAGACTCATGGAACTCCGTGTTCATCAAGAACTGCAAGAAGAACCTATCACGAGCCTTTTCCATCCTATGGAGAGGGAGCATGGACACGGGAGTCGTCCCACAGTTACTAAAAACAACAGACATAGCCCCACTCCACAAAGGGGGCAGTAAAGCAACAGCAAAGAACTACAGACCGATAGCACTAACATCCCATATCATAAAAATCTTTGAAAGGGTCCTAAGAAGCAAGATCACCACCTCTAGAAAACCCATCAGTTACACAACCCAGGGCAACATGGGTTTAGAACAGGTCGCTCCTGTCTGTCTCAACTATTGGATCACTATGACAAGGTCCTAGATGCACTAGAAGACAAAAAGAATGCAGATGTAATATATACTGACTTTGCAAAAGCCTTCGACAAGTGTGACCATGGCGTAATAGCGCACAAAATGCGTGCTAAAGGAATAACAGGAAAAGTCGGTCGATGGATCTATAATTTCCTCACTAACAGAACACAGAGAGTAGTCGTCAAC